CTCTGCTCTTTGAATCACCTTATATGCCTGAAATACATGTAGGCATTTGCTTTGCAGAAACGAATAGACTGAATGGAAAATATCCACAAGGCAACTAAGAAAAAAAGAAGAAAAACTATGTAGGCCCAAGCATTGGAGACCGGCCAACAAACCTCATATTGAAGACTGGCCAACAAACCTCATATTGGAGACCGGCCAACAAACCTCATATTAAAGACTGGCCAACAAACCTCATATTGGAGACCGGCCAACAAACCTCATATTAAAGACTGGCCAACAAACCCTCATTTTGGAGGCTGGCCAACAAACCTGATATTAGAGGCTGGCCAACAAACCTCATATTAGAGACTGGCCAACAAACCTCATATTAAAGAATGGCCAACAATCCTCATATTGGAGACCGGCCAACAAACCTCATATTAAAGACTGGCCAACAAACCTCATATTGGAGTATGGCCAACAAACCTCATATTAGAGCCGGCCAACAAACCTCATATTAAAGAATGGCCAACAAACCTCATATTGGAGGCTGGCCAACAAACCTCATATTAAAGACTGGCCAACAAACCTCATATTGGAGACTGGCCAACAAACCTCATATTAAAGACTGGCCAACAAACCTCATATTGGAGGCTGGCCAACAAACCTCATATTAGAGACTGGCCAACAAACCTCATATTAAAGACTGGCCAACAAACCTCATATTGGAGACCGGCCAACAAACCTCATATTAAAGACTGGCCAACAAACCTCATATTGAGAGACTGGACAACAAACCTCATATTAAAGACTGGCCAACAAACCTCATATTGGAGGCTGGCCAACAAATCTCATATTAGAGTCTGGCCAACAAACCTCATATTAAAGACTGGCCAACAAACCTCATATTAGAACCTGGCCAACAAACCTCATATTAAAGAATGGCCAACAAACCTCATATTGGAGACCGGCCAACAAACCTCATATTAAAGACTGGCCAACAAACCTCATATTGGAGGCTGGCCAACAAATCTCATATTAGAGTCTGGCCAACAAACCTCATATTAAAGTCTGGCCAACAAATATCATATTGGAGGCTGGCCAACAAATCTCATATTAGAGGCCGGCCAACAAACCTCATATTGGAGACCGGCCCACAAACCTCATATTAAAGAATGGCCAACAAATTCATATATTGGAGACTGGCCAACAAACCTCATATTAGAGCCCACTGTATTTTTGTATGGTTAGCAGTAGCTTAGCGGTTCTTGAGGCAGGCAAGATCAGTTTAGTTTTTTTTTACATTATTGTTTCATTCCTTGGGTCCTGCTCAGCCCTTTGTCCCAAACCTTTACCGTGTGTTCATAATAAACATTTTGTGTTTGACGGTAGCTTATGGTTGTCGGTGTATTTTTGTTCTCACTGTTTCGTGGCACTATTCTAATTTGCATGAGTTATGTTACAGGTCTCTTTTCCATCCACCCTAGACATTTAAAGCCACAGGGTTTGTAACACCGGCCAACAAACCTCAAATTAGAGGCTGGCCAACAAACCTCATATTGGAGACTGGCCAACAAACCTCATACTAGAGGCTGGCCAACAAACCTCATATTGGAGACGCCAACAAACATCATTTTGGAGGCTGGCCAACAAACCTCATATTAGAGCCTGGCCAACAAACCTCATATTAGAGACCCGGCCAACAAACCTCATATTGGAGTCTGGCCAACAAACCTCATATTGGAGACCGGCCAACAAACCTCATATTGGACTCTGGCCAACACCCCCTCATATTAGAGCCTGGCCAACAAACCTCATATTAAAGTCTGGCCAACAAACCTCATATTGGAGGCTGGCCAACAAACCTCATATTGGAGACCGGCCAACAAACCTCATATTAAAGACTGGCCAACAAACCTCATATTAGAGCCGGCCAACAAACCTCATATTAGAGCCGGACAACAAACCTCATATTAGAGAACCGGCCAACAAACCTCACATTAGAGAGCGGCCAACAAACCTCACATTACAGACTAACAAACCTTGTATTAGAGACTGGCCAACAAACCTCATATTGGAGACAGGCCAACAAACCTCACATTAGAGACTAGGCCAACAAACCTCACATTAGAGACTAGGCCAACAAACCTCACATTAGAGACCGACCAACAAACCTCATATTAGAAACCGGCCAACAAACCTCATATTAGAGACCTGGCCAACAAACCTCATATTGGAGTCTGGAAAAGAAACCTCATATTGGAGGCTGGCCAACAAACCTCATATTGGAGGCTGGCCAACAAACCTCATATTGGAGACCGGCCAACAAACGTCATATTAAAGACTGGCCAACAAACCTCATATTAGAGCCGGCCAACAAACCTAACATTAGAGACTGGCCAACAAACCTCACATTAGAGACCGACCAACAAACCTCATATTAGAAACCGGCCAACAAACCTCATATTAGAAACCGACCAACAAACCTCATATTAGAAACCGGCCAACAAACCTCATATTAGAGACCCGGCCAACAAACCTCATATTGGAGTCTGGCCAACAAACCTCATATTGGAGGCTGGCCAACAAACCTCATATTGGAGACTGGCCAACAAACCTCATATTGGAGCCCGGCCAACAAACCTCATATTAAAGTCTGGCCAACAAACCTCATATTGGAGGCTGGCCAACAAACCTCATATTGGAGACTGGCCAACAAACCTCATATTGGAGCCCGGCCAACAAACCTCATATTAAAGACAGGCCAACAAACCTCACATTGGAGACAGGCCAACAAACCTCACATTGCAGACAGGCAAATACACCTCACATTGCAGACAGGCCAACAAACCTCACATTGCAGACAGGCGATCAAACCTCACATTGCAGACAGGCGATCAAACCTCACATTGCAGACAGGCCAACAAACCTCACATTGGTTCAATAGAACATTTACAAAGAAAGAGAAATAAAGAATATATTTTCTTCTATGATAAAAAAGCTGTCTGGATTATTGGTATTGGGAAGAGAAAATTCAGCCTTTAGCTGAAAGCCTATTGATTTATCCATGTAGAATGGAACAATGGTGTGGTCCTCATAAAAGAGGACATCTTCATTTCTTGGAACGAACATATAAAATAAAACCTTTAAATAGCTATACTCGCCTTTATGGGCCTTTCTTTCCTGTCAGTAGCCTATACATGTTCCTTCTATCTGTGATAGATATGAGAATGTATGGAATTTGGAGAAGGACATTCTCCCAAATTGGCAAAGTACATCTGAGCAGTCTATTCATTTCTATTCTATAAGTGAATGTATGGAACAATGCATGGAAATGGAAGAAGTGGGAGAAGGACACACGCTCCCACGCTTGGTTAAGCTGCAGCTGAATGGACCTAGGCTATAGATACCATGAAGAGAGGTGGAGAACAGCAGAGTAACACTTCAAAGTGCTATTTCTTTATCATCCCGTAGCAAAGAGAAAGGTAATTTTCCAAACAAACAGTGCCTTGCCTATGCAGGTTCAAATAACACTTTGACAAGGCTTTGAGGGCAGTACAATCAGTAAAAATGACAGCCCCACTTCCAATATATGTCAGAGGCTAATCAAACATGTGGCTGGCTACTCATGGTGACCCCACAGTACAATAGATCAAATACTTCACTCAATTGGATGGATTCATTAATCGTCCTTGTTTTGTCTCTTGACACCTAGTGCCAGTTTTAGTTATGTATAGCGTGGTTATGCCTTGTTCGATCAAGTCTGGTAATGACCAGCACTTCAGCACTTCACATGTTTAGGTGAGTGAGTAGAGCTTCTGAGTGTCTGACAGCACAACTACACCATTTAGAAATGAATTGCCTGTAGGGTATCTGAGAACAGTTTACTACTGCCAGTCTCTGGGTAGAGAGGGCGATGGTGACTGGGTCAATTTGGGGCGGACACTGTGTTCTCTCTCTATCTGTACACCATGTCTTTCACTCAGTATACTCCTTTCTCTCTCTCTCTCTCTCTCAGTACGTGCTCTCTCTCTCAGTACACTCATCTCTCTCTCTCTAATTCTCTCTCTATCTCTCAGTACGTGCTCTCTCTCTCAGTACACTCATCTCTCTCTCTCTCTCTCTCTCTCTCTCTCTCTCTCTCTCTCTCTCTCTCTAATTCTCTCTCTTTCTCTCAGTTCATGCTTTATCTTAGTACACATCTCTCCCTCTGTATTCTCTCAGTCAGAACGCTCCCTCCTTCTCACTCTCTCATTCTCTGTCTACCTAATTTGTTCTCTCTCTCCCACTGTGGATGTTCAGTTCCAAGATTGTTCAGAGAATCGGCGAGGAAGGGAGGAAGGAAGCAAGACAAAAAGGGAGGGAGGAAAGGAGAGGAGAGAGGAGGATCCCGTGCAGCTGCGGAGCAGACAAGACAGAGAGAGAGGAGAGGAGAGGAGAGGAAAGGAGAGGAGAGGAGAGGAGAGGAGAGGAGAGGAGAGGAAAGGAGAGGAGAGGAGAGGAGAGGAGAGGAGAGGAGAGGAGAGGAGAGGAGAGGAGAGGAGAGGGAGGAGAGGAGAGGAGAGGAGAGGAGAGGAGAGGATCCCGTGCAGCTGCAGAGTAGACAAGACAGACAGAGAGAGGAGAGGAGAGGAGAGGAGAGGAGAGGAGAGGAGAGGAGAGGAGAGGAGAGGAGAGGAGAGGAGGAGGAGAGGAGAGGAGAGGAGAGGAGAGGAGAGGAGAGGAGAGGAGAGGAGAGGAGAGGAGAGGAGAGGATCCCGTGCAGCTGCAGAGTAGACAAGACAGACAGAGAGAGGAGAGGAGCAGGTGGTGATTTACTGAGACAATTTAGAGGATAATTGTGTAACATTTATCGAACATGATCCGTCTTTAAGGGCTACCTCCCAAATGGCACCATATTCCCTACAAAGTCAGCTACTTTCGAAATATTGGGAATAGGGACTATATAGGGAATAGAGTAACACCCTCTGTTTTTGAGGATAAGCGTCACCAGCCTGGCTCCTTTCCCAATAATCACACCCTTAACACTCATCTGATCTGCCTTCTCCTCTCTGGGCTGTGGCTTCTCTGGGCTGTGGCTTCTCTGGGCTGTGGCTTCTCTGGGCTGTGGCTTCTCTGGGCTGTGGCTTCTCTGGGCTGTGGCTTCTCTGGGCTGTGGCTACAGGGTATAGTAGTGTATAGTTTAGGTTATGTGTGAAGGGAAAGAGTTACAGTGTACTATACTCTCACTTGTTGCCAATGACCAAATTACCCCAAATAAATACTCCCTATTGATTGTATACACTGAGAGGGGAGGTGTGTGTTTCTGTGTGTGTGTGTGTGTCACCAACGATTTCACCGTTAACTCAGAAGAGGAAGTCATCATCGGATACAATTGACTACCGTAACGTAACGTAACGTGTGTGTGTGGTGTGTGTGTGTGTGTGTGTGTGTGTGTGTGTTCCAATTGGGAAATGGATAGCAAACAAACAACTCAGCTCCATAATCAGCTCCATTAAAACATAATGGATGTGATTAGCATATTACATGTTACCCATGCCTCTTTCTCCTCATAATTAGGGACCAGGTGTGTGTGTGTGTGTGTGTGTGTGTGTGTGTGTGTGTGTGTGTGTGTGTGTGTGTGTGTTATCATGCATGCGTGTGTGTGTGTGGGAATACCTTGCTCAAGGAGATTGAGGTTGGCAGAGTTAATTGACAGTGGTAGTGGGGCTAAGGCTGGCAGGGAGAGTTTGGGAGAGGAGAGATAGTTGTGATTAATGTCACAGAGTGTGGCTCGCTCCTAAACAGTCTCACCCTAACTCTACCTCCACAGGCACTGTGTCACGATCGTTGACACATGATGAAGCGGACCAAGGCGCAGCGTTGAAGGTGAACATATTATTTATTTAGAATGATCACACGATCAAAACAACAACGATAACGTGACGTCTACGGTATAACACAAACCAAATCAGAACAAGATCCCACAAAGAATAGCTGAAAACAGCCTACCTAAGTATGGCTCCCAATCAGAGACAGCGAGCAACAGCTGCCTCTGATTGGGAACCACCCTGACCAACATAGATCTATATGATCTAGAACAAAACCCAAAACATAGAAAACACAACATAGAAGCTACCCCGTGAAACTAAACATAGAAAATCCACACCCTGGCTCAACATTTCAGAGTCCCCAGAGCCAGGGCGTGACACACTGTGTGTGTGTCGAAAATATATTCTCAGCTCAGTCTGTTTACAAATGATGAAAACACACAACATGATATTTTAACGCTACTTGCCAAAATATATACACATCTCTGAAACTCCTGCTCACAGTTATCCAGTGTTGATATTGAGGGTTGTGAAGTCGAAGTAATGTACACCACCTTCAACAAATATCTCTTTTAGCAAAACCACTTCGCCCTGCTGTCATGAGTCAGGTTCTCCAAAAGAGAAGGGCGACAGTGACAAGAATGTAAAGCAGTTCTCTGAAGACATTTTCAATTTTAGGGTCTACTACTTTAGATCTCTGAAACTCATTTTCACTGTTGTTCAGTGTGGATGTTAAGGGGCATGAAGTTAAAGCACCATAGCTTCAATATGAACACACCAGTGGAGGCTGCTGAGGGGAGGGCGGCTCATAACAATGGCCGGAACGGAGCGAATGGAATGGCATCAAACACCTGGAAACCATGGAAACCATGCGTTTGATGTATTCCGTTCGAGCCCGTCCTCCCCTTACCAACCTCATTTCAGTTTTACCACTACGGTTTCACCCCAAAGGCACAACTTCTCCGAAAGAGAGGCAACAATGAAAAGAGAGGAAAAAGAGAGAACTTATTTTGAGAGATTCACTTCCTGTTCTTCTCCGTCCAGGAACACTACGCTCTGGCCAAAATAAGTGCACTATACAGGGAATAGTGTGGCATTCGGGAAGCATCCCTAGAGGGGGAAAATAAACGTTCCCCAGCTCTCCATCTCCTTCCCGACAGTTTACAGAGCTTATTCAATGGTTGGTGTATAGATAGATAGGATACCGTTGGAGGGCTTGGAGGGAGTTGGAGGCGGGAGAGTTGGTCCACATATCAGAGGGCAGATACAAAACTGAGCAACACAGGACCACAGGTGCACCTTGTGCTGGGGACGATAAAAGGCCACTCTAAAATGTGCAGTTTTGTCACCCAACACAATGCCACAGATGTCTCGAGTTTTGAGGGAGCGTGCAATTGGCACGCTGACTGCAGGAATGTCCACCAGAGCTGGTGCTAGAGAATGTATTGTTCATTTCACTACCATAAGCCGCCTCCAACGTCATTTTAGAGAATTTGACAGTGCTTCCAACCAGCCTAACAACTGCAGACCATGTGTATCCACGCCATCCCAGGACCTACACATTTGGCTTCTTCACCTGCGGGATCGTCTGAGACCTGCCACCTGGACAGCTGATGAAACTGTTGTTTTGCACAACCAAAGAATTTCTGCACAAACTGCCAGAAACCGTCTCAGGGAAGCTCATCTGTGTGCTCGTCGTCCTCGCCAGGGTCTTGACCTGACTGCAGTTTGGCGTTGTAACCGACTTCAGTGGGCAAATGCTCACCTTCGATGGACGCTGGAGAAGTGTGCTCTTCATGGATGAATTCCGGTTTCAACTGTACCGGGCATATGGCAGACAGCGTGTATGGCGTCATGTGGGCGAGTGGTTTGCTGATGTCAACGTTGTGAACAGAGTGCCCCATGGTGGCGGCAGGGTTATGGTATGGGCAGGCATAAGCTACGGACAACGAACACAATTGCATTTTATCGATGACAATTTGAATGCACAGAGATACCGTGACGAGATCCTGAGGCCCATTGTCTTGCCATTCATCCACCGCCATCACCTCATGTTTCAGTATGATAATGCACAGCCCCATGTCTCAAGGATCTGTACACAATTCCTGGAAGCTAAAAATGTCCCATTGAGCATGTTTGGGATGCTCTGGATCGACCTGTACAACAACATGTTCCAGTTCACGCCAATATCCAGCAATTTCGCACAGCCGTTGAAGAGGACATTCCATAAGCCACAATCAACAGCCTGATCAACTCTATGCAAAGGGTTGTGTCGCACTGCATGAGGCAAACTGTGGTCACACCAGATACTGACTGGTTTTCTGATCCACACCCCTACCTTTCTTTTAAGGTATCTGTGAACAACAGATGCATTTCTGTATTTCCAGTCATGTGAAATCCATAGATTAGGGCCTAATGAATTTCAATTGACTGTTTTCCTTATATAAACTGTAACTCAGAAAAATATTTTAAATTGTGGCATGTTGTGTTAATATTTTTGTTCGGTGTATATATTGTATACATACACTGAGTACATAAAACATTAAGAACACCTTTCTAATATTGAGTTCCACCCCCCTTTTTGCACCCAGAACAGCCACAATTCGTCGGGGCATGGACTCTACAAGGTGTCGAAAGCATTCCACAGGGATGCTGACCCATGTTGGCTCCAATGCTTCCTGCAATTGTGTCAAGTTGGCTGGATGTCCTTTGGGTGGTGGACCATTATTGATACACACGGGAAACTGTTGAGCGTGAAAAACCCAGCAACGTTGCAGTTCTTGACACAAAACAGTGCACCTGGCACCTAATACCATACCCTGTTCAAAGGCACTTACATATTTTGTCTTGCCCATTCACCGTCTGAATTGCACACATACTCAATCCATGTCTCAATTGTCTCAAGGCTTAAAAATCCTTCTTTAACCTGTCTCCTCCCCATCATCTACACTGATTGAAGTGGATTTAACAGGTGACATCACTAAGGGATCATAGCTTTCACCTGGATTCACCTGGTCAGTCTATGTCATGGAAAGAGCAGGTGTTCTTAATGTTTTGTATAATCAGTGTATACTGTATCTATCCCCCTTATAAGAGTTGAATGTTCATCTTGTCATTATTGTACTGTCGTATATTGTTTATATGATCTGTCTTTGAGTTTATATCCCCCCTATCTCTCTCTCTCTCTCTCTCTCTCTCTCTCTCTCTCTCTCTCTCTCTCTCTCTCTCTCTCTCTCTCTCTCTCTCTCAATGTAAGATGGCTTCATAGAGGAAGTAAGTAACATAGTGCGACAGCCTCTGGTACAGAAAATGTAATACTGGGCTAAACAAAGCACATACTGTAGATCTGCCAGACAAGAAGTGTCTGTCCTGTATACAGTGTTAGTGTCTCTGGCTTTGTCTCTATCAGTACCAAGGACTTGTTGTGTCATCTTGGCATTGGCTGTGTCTCTGGCTACATCCCAAATGGCACCATATTCCCTATATAGTGCACTACTTTTGACCAGGGCTCTATGGGCTCTGGTGAAAAGTAGTGCACTATGTAGGGAATAGGGTGCTATTTGGGACACAACCTCTGTCTGTACCAGGGACTTGTTGTGTCTGTCTTGGCATACATGTAGGTTGTTTTCTGACTGATTTCTGATGGTTTTCTGGCTGTGTTCTGGCTGTGCTCTGGCTGTATTCTGCCTGTGTTCTGGCTGTTTCACAGACAGGTTCTGGCTGTAGATGAACTGGCAGATTATAGAAGGTGATAATGATATTCAAGCTCACAGCTCAATAAGCACAACTGATGCAATTCTGACGACTGGTCATCTCTGCCAATGTGATGGCACTCCTACTGTGCTCAGCAGACATGGGCCGGGCTAAATACACACACACAGAGAGAGAGAGAGAGAGAGAGAGAGAGAGAGAGAGAGAGAGAGAGAGAGAGAGAGAAAGAGAGAGAGAGAGAGAGAAAGAGAGAAAGAGAGAGAAAGAGAGAGAGAGAGAGACACAAACAAGTGCAATCTTGTACGCACACACACACTCTCTCTCTCTCTCTCTCTATCTCTTTCTCTCTCTCTTAGGGGATGGCTACAGTATTCTGCTGATTCTACCTGCCCATGTATTTATTTCAGCCCAGAACCCAGAGCTCCTGCTGACCCATAGTAGAACAACCAGGGAGACGCAGCCAGGCATGACTCCCCAGAGTAGAGTTAGAGTAAAGCCATGTACAGTACAGAAATATACAGACCAAGACACAGGTAGATAGACACAAACCGGCGTGCACACGCACGCACACACAAACACACACACTCACGCACACACGCGAATTACACAGAGCGGTGGCAAACCATTCTACAGCAATACAGGCACACTGTTAAGGCTATGGTTCAACCCAGCACTCAGAGAAACCAACACGACAAAGGGAGTGGAAGAAACAAAAATGTTTTAATAAAAGTTCAAATTGTCTAGTCCAAAAACAACTGACGTAAAGGAACAGAGTGGGCTAGTCGGCTCCGGAGGAAGGAGAGGCTGAGGCAGGCAGGCAGGCAGGCAGGCAGGCAGACCGACCGGCAGGAAGGCAGGCAGGTTGGGAGGTATGTCCGAACTGAAGACAAAACAAACGACAGGTAAAGGAGAGTGGAGAGCCAGGCTGAAGACAAAGACAAAAAAACTTTACTGGTGAGCCAAGTTACCGCTCTGGTAAGAACAACGATCTGGCGCCGGTGGAGAGCCATGCCCAGGAATAAGTAGTGCAGGTTGATGAGAGAATAGGATGCAGCTGCGTAGGCAGGAATCACTGGAAACAACCCGCAGCTGCACAGGAGAGGCAGATCCTGAGCACGCCCCCTGCTCCACTCCAGACACACCCACATAAAGGGGACAAACACACATACAACAGAAAAAGAGGGGACAAAACAAGGAGGAAGGGAAACAGAAAAGGGAGAGACAAGCTGCCCACATAACAGTACCCCCCCCTCAATGGTCGCCACCTGGCGACCCACCAGGCCTGTCAGGGTTGTCATGATGGAAGTCCGTGATCAGCTGAGGATCCAACACAAAACGCTTAGGGACCCAAGACCTCTCCTCTGGTCCATAACCTTCCCAATCGACTAGGTATTGGAGACCCCTACCCCGCCTCCGAGAGTCCAGGAGCCTACTGACGGTGTAGGCCGGATGGTCGTCAATGAGGCGAACAGGTGGAGGTGGATCAGCCGGCGGACACAAAAGGCTGGAGGACACAGGTTTCAGTTGGGAGACGTGGAAGGTAGGGTGTATCTTCATGGCTGAAGGCAACTTCAAACGAACCGCAGCGGGGTTAATGATGGATTCCACCACAAACGGACCCAGGTACCGAGGAGACAGCTTGCGTGATTTGGTACGAAGAGGTACGTTCTTAGATGACAGCCAAACCTCTTGACCAGGATGAAACACAGGTGCGGGAGTCCTGCTCCTATCCGCTGTTGTCTTGTTCCTGTCGGTGGTCCGAAGCAATGCTTCCCGAGCGTCGCTCCACACTCTCTGGCAGCGGCGGAGGTTCTCCTGAACCGAAGGAACAGCCAATTCCTTCTCCTGAGCAGGAAACAGAGGGGGTTGATAACCCATGGTAACCTCGAAGGGTGAAAGACCGGTGGCAGAGGCGGTGAGGGAGTTGTGGGCGTACTCTATCCAGGGCAGATGTTTAGCCCAGGATGATGGATGTTGAGCAGCCACACAACGAAGGGTTGCTTCGAGGTTTTGGTTGGCTCTTTCTGTTTGACCGTTGGTCTGGGGATGAAACCCTGAGGACAGACTAACGGAAGCACCCAAAGCAGAACAGAAACCCTTCCAAACACGGGAAGTAAACTGTGGGCCTCTATCAGATACGATGTCCACAGGTATTCCATGGGGACGGAATACATGTTGGACTAGGAGGTCCGCTGTCTCACTGGCAGACGGTAATTTTGGTAATGCTATATAGTGGACAGATTTAGAGAATCTGTCCACAATGGTAAGTATAGTATCATTACCTTCAGACTTGGGTAGGCCGGTGACAAAATCCATGGCAATGTGGGACCAGGGACGGCTGGGAACTGGGAGGGGTAGCAGCAGCCCCGAAGGGGACTGATGGGAGGCTTTGCCCCGAGCACAGGTTGAACAGGCTGCCACAAAAGCCCGAACGTCAGTTTCCATTGACGGCCACCAAAAATGTCTCCTAAGCAGCGTCAACGTGCGTCTCATCCCAGGGTGACCAGCAAAACGGGAGGTGTGAATCCACTGCAACACCTGAGACCGGACCGTCTCGGGAACAAAGAGTAGGTTGGGAGGTCCATCACCCGGTCCCATGTCCGTGGCAAGTGCAGTCTTCACAAGAGACTCGATCTCCCACTGAACAGCCGCCACGACGCATGAGGAAGGCAGGACTGCCTCAGGCTCGCTGGTCTCCGAAGGGTCAGCAAACTGGCGGGACAAAGCATCTGGTTTAACATTTCTTGACCCCGGTCTGTATGTAAGAATAAAGTTAAACCTACTAAAAAACAGGGCCCATCTGGCTTGGCGTGAGTTGAGTCTCTTAGTGGCTTGGATGTAAGCCAAGTTTTTGTGGTCAGTCCAGACCACAAACGGCAGTTCAGCTCCATCCAGCCAGTGCCGCCATTCTTCCAGTGCAAGCTTGACCGCCAGCAGTTCCCGGTTTCCAACGTCGTAATTCCGTTCTGTGGGTGACAATTTCTTGGAGAAAAACGCACAGGGGTGAAGCCTTTGGTCAGTGGGGGAGCGCTGGGAGAGGACTGCTCCCACACCTGAGTCCGACGCGTCCACCTCCACAACAAACTGCAGAGAGGTATTGGGGTGTATCAACACGGGGGAGGTGGAAAACAGTTCCTTCAAAACCCCTACCGCCTGCTCCGCCTCAGGGGACCACCGAAAAGGGACTTTAGGAGATGTGAGTCTTGTAAGGGGTGCCACCACTCTACTAAAACCCTTAATGAATCTACGGTAGAAGTTAGCAAAGCCCAAAAATCGTTGAAGTTGCTTACGGGTGGTGGGTGTGGGCCATTCCGTCACTGCCCGGATCTTCTCGGGGTCCGCCTTCACCTGCCCGCTCTCAATTATGAAACCAAGGAACGATGTAGACTGTTTGTGGAACTCACACTTCTCTGCCTTGACGTACAGCTTGTTCTCCAAGAGCCGTTGAAGGACTTGACGGACGTGTGACTCATGCTCCTCGGGTGACTTGGAAAAAACAAGAATATCATCCAGGTATACAAAGACAAAACGGTTCAAAAAATCCCTAAGAACATCGTTCACCATGGCTTGGAAAACCGCAGGGGCATTTGAAAGCCCAAAGGGCATGACCAAATACTCAAAATGTCCCAGTGGAGTGTTGAAAGCGGTTTTCCACTCATCTCCCTTTCGGATTCGGACAAGGTGATAAGCATTCCTGAGGTCGAGCTTGGAAAACACTGTGGCGCCATGCAGAGGTTCAAAAGCTGAGTTGATGAGTGGAAGGGGATACTTGTTTTTAACAGTTATGTTGTTTAAACCCCTGAAATCGATACAGGGGCGTAACGACTTGTCCTTCTTTTCCACGAAAAAGAAACCTGCACCCAAAGGAGACGACGAGGGACGGATTATGCCCGAGACCAGAGAATTACCAATGTACTGCTCCATTGCCTCTCTTTCCGGTCGGGACAGATTGTATAACCGACTAGAGGGCAAGGGAGCACCAGGGAGCAGTTCAATAGGGCAATCATAAGGCCTATGTGGTGGTAGAGACAGAGCCTTGTCCTTACTGAAAACCTCCGCTAAGTCATGGTATTCTTTGGGGACAGATGACAGATCAAGAGGAGCTGAGGGAGGAGTTGGGTTACACTTAGTGGGGGGAACCGCTGACCTCAGGCACTCGGAATGGCAGTTAGTGCTCCAACTGAGAATGGTGTGACGTGTCCAATCAATTTGTGGGTTGTGAAGAGCCAACCAGGGGAAGCCAAGGATTAGGGAGGTAGCTGAGCCAGACATAACTCTTAGCTGAATGCTTTCACAATGATTGCCAGAAATCACTAGGGAAACGGGGGTGGTCTGATGAGTTATCTCCGCGAGGAGGCGCCCATCAAGGGCTGTGACCCGGATGGGGGTAGGTAGTGGCTCCATGGGGATACGAGCTTGTGTAACGAACTGGTGGCTAATAAAGTTATCTTCTGCACCTGAGTCTATGAGAGCTGAGAGTGGCAGGGAATGACTCTGGAAACGTAAGGTTACAGGTACTTGTAATCGGGGAATGATGGGTTCAGGATCTAACTCTGGGCTCGCAAGTAGACCCACCGTTACGAGCGAGCCTTGTCTTTTGGCCGCTTAGGGCATGTAGCCAGAATGTGTGTGGCGTCTCCACAGTACAGGCACTCACCCGCCTGGAGGCGCCGTTGCCGCTCAGCTGGAGGTAGTCGAGCTCGACCCACTTGCATAGGTTCCTCCTCTGTGCTCGGGATGGAATCAGGAACAAGAAGCTGCCGACTCCGGAGAGGCGAGACTCGAGTGGTTGAAGGCTGGGGAATTCGTCCTCCTAGATGTGGCCGATCGCCTCTCTCCCGACGCCTCTCCCGCAACCGATTGTCTAGCTTGATGGACAGGGAAACGAGAGAATGTAAATCATGTGGCTCATCACGAGCAGCCAGTTCATCCTTAATGGCTTCATTCAAACCGTTTAGAAATGCTCCTTGAAGTGCCACATTGTTCCACTTGGAGTCCGCTGCCAACGTCCAGAACTCAATAGAGTACTCTGCCACACTGTTAGAACCCTGCCTCAAATTAAAAAGTATCTTGGAGGAATTACCCACATGGTCAGGATGGTCAAAAACAGTCTTCAATTTAGCAGAGAAATCAGCAAAAGTCAATCCAGTCAAAGTTTGATCTGAGCACACAGCCTCAGCCCAAACCAGAGCTTTCCCTCTTAACAGCCCCAGAACATAATGTACCTTAGATGAATCAGTAGAAAACGACAGTGGTCTCTGCCGAAAAATCAAGTCACACTGAAGCAAAAATCCCCGGCACTTGTCCAATTCTCCATTGAACGGTTCAGGCGACGTGACAGGGGGTTCCCGACGGAACGAAGCCTGCCTAGTGTCCGAGGAAACAACTTGGGGTGCATCAAACTGGGGGTCAGAGAGAGATGGAGAACTGATAACAGACAATTTAGAGACGTGTGTAGTTAACTGAGTCACCTGGTTCAGCAGTTGATGATTATCTTCCACAAGAGTCCGAATCAACTGGTCATGCTGTCCTAGCAACGTTCCTTGAGCCTGGATAGCTTGCTGGAAGCTGTCTTTGTTTGCCCCGTGCTGTTTCTCTGTTGGGTCCATGGCCAGATCGTTCTGTTAAGGCTATGGTTCAACCCAGCACTCAGAGAAACCAACACGACAAAGGGAGTGGAAGAAACAAAAATGTTTTAATAAAAGTTCAAATTGTCTAGTCCAAAAACAACTGACGTAAAGGAACAGAGTGGGCTAGTCGGCTCCGGAGGAAGGAGAGGCTGAGGCAGGCAGGCAGGCAGGCAGGCAGGCAGGCAGGCAGACCGACCGGCAGGAAGGCAGGCAGGTTGGGAGGTATGTCCGAACTGAAGACAAAACAAACGACAGGTAAAGGAGAGTGGAGAGCCAGGCTGAAGACAAAGACAAAAAAACTTTACTGGTGAGCCAAGTTACCGCTCTGGTAAGAACAACGATCTGGCGCCGGTGGAGAGCCATGCCCAGGAATAAGTAGTGCAGGTTGATGAGAGAATAGGATGCAGCTGCGTAGGCAGGAATCACTGGAAACAACCCGCAGCTGCACAGGAGAGGCAGATCCTGAGCACGCCCCCTGCTCCACTCCAGACACACCCACATAAAGGGGACAAACACACATACAACAGAAAAAGAGGGGACAAAACAAGGAGGAAGGGAAACAGAAAAGGGAGAGACAAGCTGCCCACATAACACACACAGAATATATCTTGCTGAATGTATTATGTAAAGTGACTTTGAGGTGTTTTGGAAAGGTCTTTCGTATAAATAAATAAAATAATGTGTCAAATCTAGTATTAAGATTAGAATCCATATGCAGAACAGCAATACAGAAACACAGAAAATACAGAATAATCAAAGAGGCCAATTGAAATGTAGAGGCCCTGAGCCCCTCAGTCTGAGCGATCCTTAGGATAAAAACATAGAAGATATACATTGAATTGATGCAAATATATTGAACCCATGATGGTCCCATTATAACACACCAGTCTCTCTCAGTGTAATAGCATGATGGTCCCATTAGAACACTAGATAATGACTGGAGGCTTAACAAGCTGGCTGATAAGTGGCTGTTGGCATCTTCTCTGACACTCGTATCGTGTCTTATTCAGTTATAAATGAGCCAATACGGGTGGATTTCCCCTCATTATACCATTATGACTCGCCATTCATCTGAATAAAGAGGAGACAGACGTGAGACGAGCAAATTAATTGGACTAGGGTAATGACTAATTAGTGTTTGTGTCAGGATGTATTAGTAACGTATTGAAGCTAAAGGGGTTTATCATGTGTGTGTGCATGTGTGTGTGTGTGTGTGGGGGGGTGTTTCGGAGGGGGGGTTGATAGTAATTACATGTGGTTAATATCCTCTTGGTCTCATGGTTACATGATGACGGTTTTCGATAGGCTACCTCTTATCCAGCAATCTCCCGATAGGAAGAGTGATGTGTGAGGTGTGTGTGTGTTCATGTTTGTAATCTCTCGATAAGAAGAGCGATAAGTGAGTTTATTAAAGGGGTGTTTCTGAAAACATCCATTCATCATCGGAGTGAGGAACATACTGTAACCACGGGATACAGAGACCCTTCTAAGCAGCTACAGAAAGACTGAGGGACATACTGTAACCACGGGATACAGAGACCCTTCTAAGCAGCTACAGAAAGACTGAGGGACATACTGTAACCACGGGATACAGACCCTTCTAAGCAGCTACAGAAAGACTGAGGGACATACTGTAACCATGGGATACAGACCCTTCTAAGCAGCTACAGAAAGACTGAGGGACATACTGTAACCACGGGATACAGACCCTTCTAAGCAGCTACAGAAAGACTGAGGGACATACTGTAACCACGGGATACAGACCCTTCTAAGCAGCTACAGAAAGACTGAGGGACATACTGTAACCACGGGATACAGACCCTTCTAAGCAGCTACAGAAAGACTGAGGGACATACTGTAACCACGGGATACAGACCCTTCTAAGCAGCTACAGAAAGACTGAGGAACATACTGTAACCACGGGATACAGACCCTTCTAAGCAGCTACAGAAAGACTGAGGGACATACTGTAACCACGGGATACAGAGACCCTTCTAAGCAGCTACAGAAAGACTGAGGGACATACTGTAACCACGGGATACAGACCCTTCTAAGCAGCTACAGAAAGACTGAGGGACATACTGTAACCACGGGATACAGACCCTTCTAAGCAGCTACAGAAAGACTGAGGGACATACTGTAACCACGGGATACAGACCCTTCTAAGCAGCTACAGAAAGACTGAGGGACATACTGTAACCACGGGATACAGACCCTTCTAAGCAGCTACAGAAAGACTGAGGGACATACTGTAACCACGGGATACAGACCCTTCTAAGCAGCTACAGAAAGACTGAGGGACATACTGTAACCACGGGATACAGACCCTTCTAAGCAGCTACAGAAAGACTGAGGGACATACTGTAACCACGGGATACAGACCCTTCTAAGCAGCTACAGAAAGACAGAGGACTTCATATTGATTACCACAATAAGACTTCATATTGATTACCACAATAAGACTTCATATTGATTACCACAATAAGACTTCATATTGATTACCACAATAAGACTTCATATTGATTTCCACAATAAGACTTCATATTGATTACCACAATAAGACTTATCCATTTCCTATATTTCCGAGTTCCGAATGTTTAGAAAAACTATTTCGGTTTCAACCAGATAGCATATTTTCAATAGAAGGAGTAAGTTCACGGACAGCCTAATCTTAGGCCAACTTTTGATATTGTCACTGGTTATAATAATAATAATAATATGCCATTTAGCAGACGCTTTTATCCAAAGCGACTTACAGTCATGCGTGCATACATTTATTTGTGTATGGGTGGTCCCGGGGATCAAACCCACAACCTTGGCGTTTCAAACGCGCCGTGCTCTACCAGCTGAGCTACAGAGGACCACATCTTGATGTTGACAATATAATTGTAAACTATTCAATACACATTGTAGAGGTGTAACAGGGTAGAAATAGTGATTCCTTCCATAAGGAATAATGTATTGTACCTTAGTTCAGTACTTCAAGAGCCAAATCTTTACTTATAAAACAGTGTCCTCTAGTGTTGACATAGAGACATGACAAGTATGTGACAGCCATAATACAGTCAATTCTTCTGCCTATCTAACCAAAGATTTTACTAATTATTACAGAGATCATACATACAAATTGTTATTATGACCAAACTTATTCCAAAGATACATAGCTTCAGACAACATTTTGTTCAGCTTACCAACTCTGAATATGTGAGCAATGAAGACAAATATAATCAATCAATTTTATTTTATATAGCCCTTCGTACATCAGCTAATATCTCGAAGTGCTGTACAGAAACCCAGCCTAAAACCCCAAACAGCTAGTAATGCAGGTGTAGAAGCACCTCCATGTGTACAAATAATCAATTTGTACACATGGAATTGATTTACAATAGTAATCACCAGTCTAGAAACCACAATCTGTAACTGCACCAGTCTGTGCTGTAACATATCAGATCATTGGAAGGCCAGACACACCGTGCCTCAGTCTCTCTATGGGGACCACAGTGACCTCTGTCGAGTCCTGGGGAGAAAACAGCCAGTGAAGACCTAGTCCCCTGTAGCTCAGTTGGTAGAGCATGGCGCTTGCAACGCCAGGGGGGGGGTATGAAAATGTATGCACTCACTAACTGTTAAGTCGCTCTGGATAAAAGCGTCTGCTAAATGACTAAAAATGTAAGACTTAAGACTGCACCAATTGAATTCAATCAATAGACCAGGCCTCAAATGACACCATATTCCTCAAACAGCACTTCACCAGAGCCACATCCTAGCGTGATTGTCAATTCAAAACTTTTTGAATTGACGACATTACAACCATGATTTTAATACAGTGCAAGGACTCCGATGTCTGTGGAAGACTTTAGAGTTTAGAGTTTGGAGTTTAGAGTTTGGGAGGTGTTGTATTGAAGTGTTAAGACTCTAGCTTGAAATGTACTGATTCATGTTACCATACTAGAACTCATTAATTACTTTACATGTATAAGGAATGTATATGTTGGGGTCAATGAAGGGTAGATGGCAACTAGGAATATGGAAAGTTACTGAGAGTAGAAACTGCATCTTCTGTTCACACGTTTCTGATGAGGGAGGCGAAATGGCTCTGTTAAGGCAGGCCGGCTGCGGAACAAGGGAGGAGTGAGGAATGCGTCTCGAGGTCAAATCAACAGATGAATTGAGAAGAATCCTCTGGGAGGAGGGGCCAGAGAGGCCCACCACAATGTCTCCCCTACTGTAGCGCTATCTCACACATACACTTCCACGCCCACCAAGGTTTCAGTAACAGGCAGAGCTGTGACTACACCAGTGAGAGGAACCAATTCAATTCCTGCCTAGCAACAGAGATGTATTGGTTGTCTAGTAAGGAGTTGACCACGCCTATTAGAAGGTTATAAATATATGTGCTTGTGTAATCATGCCTTGTCTTTGCAGTTGTACGACTCAGTGGGTGAATAAACTTGGTATGAGCTTTTTCTAGTTGTCTGTTTGAGTTTTTACTCAGTTTGTTCAAATCCTAACAGTAGCAATAGAATACAAACTGAAATGCTCAGTTTCACCACTCAGTGTTGGGGAGTAACGGATTACATGTAACTGTAATCTGTTATGTTACCAGTTAAAATATTGTAATCAGATTACAGATCCTTTTGAAAAAACGATATGATTACTTATTGGATTACTTTTAAATTCAGAATGGATGTTTTGTGAAAAAATACATAATGACACCTTTCTGTTTTAGCAATGACATTCAATTCAGCAGTGAAAAAAAGTGCAAGTTTGTTTCGCCTGAGCGAGTCTGACCCAATGGTCTGACCACCAATCAGAGACCACTATGATGACACACCAAATGATGACCACCAATCAGAGACCACTATGATGACACACCAAATGATGACCACCAATCAGAGACCACTATGATGACACACCAAATGATGACCACCAGTCAGAGACCACTATGATGACACACCAAATGATGACCACCAATCAGAGACCACTATGATGACACACCAAATGGTCTGACCACCAATCAGAGACCACTATGATGACACACCAAATGATGACCACCAATCAGAGACCACTATGATGACACACCAAATGATGACCACCAATCAGAGACCACTATGATGACACACCAAATGATGACCACCAATCAGAGACCACTATGATGACACACCAAATGATGACCACCAATCAGAGACCACTATGATGACACACCAAATGATGACCACCAATCAGAGACCACTATGATGACACACCAAATGATGACCACCAATCAGAGACCACTATGATGACACACCAAATGATGACCACCAGTCAGAGACCACTATGATGACACACCAAATGATGACCACAAGTCAGAGACCACTATGATGACACACCAAATGATGACCACCAGTCAGAGACCACTATGATGACACACCAAATGATGACCACAAGTCAGAGACCACTATGATGACACACCAAATGATGACCACCAATCAGAGACCACTATGATGACACACCAAATGCATTTGATTGGATTGCGGGAAAAAAGGAGGAATAGGTTTTGGTAGGCTACAGTCCAAGTTATGTCTTCCAATGGTGTGACTGCTGTCGGCATCAAAGATTAGACCCCTGATTTGAATAAACGCTCAGAGGTAAGGACGACAGCAGTGGTGCAACTTGTCAACTAATCATCAAGCCCTAAATGAGTTGAATGAGGTATGTTTGTCTGGGGCAACAACCAAAATGTGTGCTGTTGGGGGTACTGGAGGACTGGAGTTGGGAAACAGTGGTGTAGCCTACGGGCGATACGGATATCACTTAGGTATTTTATTGATATCTACATAGCAATTAAGTGAATCACATTGCTGCTCTCTCAATGATGTGAATCACACTGCTGCTCTCTCAATGATGTGAATCACACTGCTGCTCTCTCAATGATGTGAATCACACTGCTGCTCTCTCAATGATGTGAATCACACTGCTGCTCTCTCAGTGATGTGAATCACACTGCTGCTCTCTCAATGATGTGAATCACACTGTTGCTCTCTCAATGATGTGAATCACACTGCTGCTCTCTCAATGATGTGAATCACACTGCTGCTCTCTCAATGATGTGAATCACACTGCTGCTCTCTCAATGATGTGAATCACACTGCTGCTCTCTCAATGATGTGAATCACACTGTTGCTCTCTCAATGATGTGAATCACACTGATGCTCTCTCAATGATGTGAATCACACTGCTGCTCTCTCAATGATGTGAATCATACTGCTGCTGTAGGAACTAAACATTATTGTGAACGGGGTGGTGTACCTAATAAACTGATTGTAGAACAGTATATAGTCTGTTATGCTGTAATCTACCCAACCCTGCATGGGATACATAGTGGGATGTAGAGAGAACACTTCAATATAGAACTGTATATTGTCTGATATGCTGTATCCTACCCAGCCCTGTCACCACTGATATGTCGTCTCCAGCTTGAGTAGTCTGCTACTTTTAATGATCCAATAAATTCCTTCAATCAATCAATCAATCAATCAATATGCCATATTGCATGGTGAACTGAAGAATTCCATGCTATTGAGGCTACTGAGGCAAAGGGAAAGCAGAGGGCAGGATATCTGTTTCTCACTCTGTTTAATATTTGATGTGGCTGTGTTGTCGTCAGCCCCATATTCAGTGTCTGGCTTCTCTAATCCAACGACACAGAGCCAGGCCACACTCGGGTTACAGAACCACGAGTTGAGTCAAGGTCAAACAGGCAATCTACACACACACAAACACTGTAAAAGGTCCCTACATAAACTGGAAGTAGTGTTGTCTACGACATAGGGGGCGATACTGTCTACGACATAGGGGGCGATACTGTCTACGACATAGGGGGCGATACTGTCTACGACATAGGGGGCGATACTGTCTACGACATAGGGGGCGATACTGTCTGCAACATTCGGGGCGAAACTGTCTACGACATAGGGAGCGATAATGTCTACGACAGGGTTCTTCAATTCCGGTCCTGGAGGGCCGAAACACCTCTGTTTTTCATCCTCTCCTTCTAATCAGGGGCTAATTCAGACCTGGGACACCAGGTGAGTGCAATTAACTACCAGGAAGAAATAAAAAACAGAAGTGTTTCGGCCCTCCAGGACCGGAATTGAAGAACCCTGGTCTACGACATAGGGGGCGATACTGTCTACGACATAGGGGGCGATACTGTCTACGACATAGGGGGCGATACTGTCTACAACATAGGGGTCGAAACTGTCTACGAAATAGGGGGCGATACTGTCTACGAAATAGGGGGCGATACTGTCTACGACATAGGGGGCGATACTGTCTACAACATAGGGGGCGATACTGTCTACGACATAGGGAGCGATACTGTCTACGACATAGGGGGCGATACTGTCTACGACATAGGGGGCGATACTGTCTACGAAATAGGGGGCGATACTGTCTACAACATAGGGGGCGATACTGTCTACGAAATAGGGGGCGATACTGTCTACGAAATAGGGGGCGATACTGTCTACGACATAGGGGGCGATACTGTCTACGACATAGGGGGCGATACTGTCTACAACATAGGGGGCGATACTGTCTACGACATAAAGGGCGATACTGTCTACGACATAAGGGGCGATACTGTCTACGACATAGGGGGTGATACTGTCTACAACATAGGGGGCGATACTGTCTACGAAATAGGGGGCGATACTGTCTACGACATAGGGGGCGATACTGTCTACGACATAGGGGGCGATACTGTCTACGAAATAGGGGGCGATACTGTCTACGACATAGGGGGCGATACTGTCTACGAAATAGGTGGCGATACTGTCTACGACATAGGGGGCGATACTGTCTACGAAATAGGGGGCGATACTGTCTACGACATAGGGGGCGATACTGTCTACGACATAGGGGGCGATACTGTCTACGAAATAGGGGGCGATACTGTCTACGACATAGGGGGCGATACTGTCTACGGAATAGGGGGCGATACTGTCTACGACATAGGGGGCGATACTGTCTACGACATAGGGGCGATACTGTCTACGAAATAGGGGGCGATACTGTCTACAACATAGGGGTCGAAACTGTCTACAACATAGGGGGCGATAGTGTCTACGAAATAGTGGGTGATACTGTCTACAACATGGGGGCGATACTGTCTACGACATATGGGGCGATACTGTCTACAACATAGGGGGCGATTCTGTCTACAACATAGGTGGCGATACTGTCAGCTCTATGTTCTTGAGGAGACAGCAGAAGTTCAGCTCTATGTTCTTGAGGAGACAGCAAAAGTTCAGCTCTATATTCATGAGGTGAAACCTAAGTGCTCATGCGGAGATGGTGATGCTAGCGGTGATGCTGAGTTGGGATGTAAAGGGAGCCGGGAGTAATGGACAGAGCCAAGATGTAGATGCTGCCTCCCCATCCTTCCAGTGTTCCAGGCCTGATCATATTCAGCTGTCCTGGGACAGAAGGCTGTAAGCTTAGCCCTCTGTCTGTGTGTGTGTCCAACTATTCCTGTTGAAGGCACCTTTCTATAGCTCTGCTCAGGACAGGACACCTATCTAGATACTGCAGGGGAAATTAGTGAAGCTGAGCTCTCTCTCTCTCTCTCTGTGTGTGTGTAAACTGAGCTCTCTCTCTCTGTGTGTGTGTGTAAGCAGAGCTCTCTCTCTCTCTCTCTCTCTCTCTCTCTCTCTCTCTCTCTCTCTCTCTCTCTCCTCGTCTCTCTCTCTCTCTCTCGTCTCTCCCCTCTCTCTCTCTCTCTCTCTCTCTCCTCTCTCTCTCTCCTCTCTCTCTCTCTCTCTCTCTCTCTCTGTGTAAGCTGAGTACTCTTTACCTGTGTGTGTGTGTGTAAGTTGAGCCCTCTGTCTGCTCTGCCAGGCATTAGCAGGCCTGCCATTGATCCAGATCCAGGGCAATGCTTAGAGCAGTGTTTCCCAAACTCAGTCCTGGGGACCCTGAGGTGCACGTTTTTTTTTTTGTTGCTCTAGCACTACACAGCTAATAAAAATAATCAACTCATCATCAAGCTTTGTTTATTTGAATCAGCTGTATAGTGCTAGGGCAAAAACCAACACACGCACGCACGCACACACACACACACTTTCCTTCTCCACCAACACAGAGCTTATGATAATAAAGGGTGGAATGATTTTCTCTCATCATGTCTTCTATTGTTGCCAATGACCAAATTACCCCAAATAAATACTCCCTATTGATTGTATAAACTGAGAGGGGATGTGTATGTGTCTGGATAAATACATAATGTGGTCTCTTTGAGGTTTTCTTTCTCTTCTCCCACTAGGGATTTTAACCGCCAACTCCAGCCTGGTGTTTATTTCATTGATGGTTGTGTTTATCTTCCATTTCCAGGGGCGTTATAGGTCCCAGTGGACCTAACTATTCTGCAGAGGGATATATACAGTCGTGGTCAAAACTTTTGAGAATTACACAAATACTAATTTTCACAAATTCTGCTGCCTCAGTTTTGATGATGGCAATTTGCATATACTCCAGAATGTCATGAAGAGTGATTGGATTAATTGCAATTAATTGCAAAGTCCCTCTTTGCCATGAAAATGAACTTAATCCCCAAAAAACATTTCCACTGCATTTCATCCCCTGCCACAAAAGGACCAGCTGCCATCATGTTAGTGATTCTCTCGTTAACACAGGTGAGAGTGTTGACGAGGACAAGGCTGGAGATCACACTGTCATGCTGATTGAGTTAGAATAACAGACTGGAAGCTTTAAAAGGAGGCTGGTGCTTGAAATCATTGTTCTTCCTCTGTTAACCATGGTTACCTGCAAGGAAACACGTGCCGTCATCATTGCTTTGCACAAAAAGGGCTTCACAGGCAAGGATATTGCTGCTAGTAAGATTGCACCTAAATCAACCATTTATCGGATCATCAAGAACTTCAAGGAGAGAGGTTCAATTGTTGTGAAGAAGGCGTCAGGGTGCCCAAGAAAGTCCAGCAAGTGCCAGGACCGTCTCCTAAAGTTGATTCAGCTGCGGGATCGGGGCACCACCAGTGCAGAGCTTGCTCAGGAATGGCAGCAGGCAGGTGTGAGTGCATCTGCACGCACAGTGAGGCGAAGACTTTTGGAGGATGGCCTGGTGTCAAGAAGGGCAGCAAAGAAGCCACTTCTCTCTAGGAAAAACATCAGGGACAGACTGATACTCTGCAAAAGGTACATGGATTGGACTGCTGAGGACTGAGGTAAAGTCATTTTCTCTGATGAATCCCCTTTCCGATTGTTTGGGGCATCCGGAAAACACCTTGTCCGGAGAAGACAAGGTGAGCGCTACCATCAATCCTGTGTCATGTCAACAGTAAATCATCCTGAGACCATTCATGTGTGGGGTTGCTTCTCAGCCAAGGGAGTGGGCTCACTCACAATTTTGCCTAAGAACACAGCCATGAATAAAGAATGGTACCAACACATCCTCCGAGAGCAACTTCTCCCAACCATCCAAGAACAGTTTGGTGACGACCAATGCCTTTTCCAGCATGATGGAGCACCTTGCCATAAGGTAAAAGTGATAACTAAGTGGCTCGGGAACAAAACATCTACATTTTGGGTCCATGGCCAGGAAACTCCCCAGACCTTAATCCCATTGAGAACTTGTGGTCGATCCTCAAGAGGCAGGTGGACAAACAAAAACCCACAAATTCTGACAAACTCCAAGCATTGACTATGCAAGAATGGGCTGCCATCAGTCAGGATGTGGCCCAGAAGTTAATTGACAGCATGCCAGGGCGGATTGCAGAGGTCTTGAAAAAGAAGGGTCAACACTGCAAATATTGACTCTTTGCATAAACTTAATGTAATTGTCAATAAAAGCCTTTGACACTTATGGAATGCTTGTAATTATACTTCAGTATACCATAGTAACATCTGACAAAAATATCTCATAACACTGAAGCAGCGAACTTTGTGAAGACCAATACTTGTGTCATTCTCAAAACTTTTGACCACGACTGTACATCACTGGAGGGTTGTTAGTCCCAATGGACCTAACCACTCAGCTGAGGAGGGGTAGCATTATGAACATACCCCAACCAGAAGCCATGGATTACAGGAAACATCCGCACTGAGCTAAAGGGTAGAGCTGCCGCTTTCAAGGAACGGGACTCTAACCCGGACGCTTATAAGAAATCCCGCTATGACCTCCGACGAACCATCAAACAGGCAAAGAGTCAATACAGGTCTAAGATTGAATCATACTACACTGGCTCTGACGCTCGTCGGATGTGGCAGGGCTTGAAAACTATTACAGACTACAAAGGGAAGCAAAGCCGCGAGCTGCCCAGTGACACAAGCCTACCAGACGAGCTAAACCACTTCTATGCTCGCTTCGAGGCAAGCAACACTGAAGCATGCATGAGAGCACCAGCTGTTCCGGACGACTATGTGATCACGCTCTCCGTAGCCGATGTGAGTAAGACTTTTAAGCAGGTCAACATTCACAAGGCCGCAGGGCCAGACGGATTACCAGGACGTGTACTCCGAGCATGTGCTGACCAACTGGCAAGTGTCTTCACTGACATTTTCAACATGTCCCTGACTGAGTCTGTAATACCAACATGTTTCAAGCAGACCACCATAGTCCCCGTGCCCAAGAACTCTAAGGTAACCTGCCTAAATGACTACCGACCCGTAGCACTGACGTCTGTAGCCATGAAGTGCTTTGAAAGACTGGTCATGGCTCACATCAACAGCATAATCCCAGAAACCCTAGACCCACTCCAATTTGCATACCGCCCCAACAGATCCACAGATGATGCAATCTCTATCGCACTCCACACTGCCCTTTCCCACCTGGACAAGAGGAACACCTACGTGAGAATGCTATTCATTGACTACAGCTCAGCATTCAACACCATAGTGCCCTCTAAGCTCATCACTAAGCTAAGGATCCTGGGACTAAACACCTCCCTCTGCAACTGGATCCTGGACTTTCTGACGGGCCGCCCCCAGGTGGTAAGGGTAGGTAACAACACATCTGCCACACTGATCCTCAACACGGGGGCCCCTCAGGGGTGCGTGCTCAGTCCCCTCCTGTACTCTCTGTTCACCCATGACTGCATGGCCAGGCACGACTCCATCATTAAGTTTGCCGACGACACAACAGTGGTAGGCCTGATCACCGACAACGATGAGACAGCCTATAGGGAGGAGGTCAGAGATCTGGCCGTGTGGTGCCAGGACAACAACCTCTCCCTCAACGTGACCAAGACAAAGGAGATGATTGTGGACTACAGGAAAAAAAAGAGGACTGAGCACGCCCCCATTCTCATCGACGGGGCTGTAGTGGAACAGGTTGAGAGCTTCAAGTTCCTTGGTGTCCACATCACCAACGAACTATCATGGTCCAAACACACCAAGACAGTCGTGAAGAGGGCACGACAAAGCCTATTCCCCCTCAGGAGACTAAAAAGATTTGGCATGGGTCCTCAGATCCTCAAAAAATTCTACAGCTGCACCATCGAGAGCATCCTGACTGGTTGCATCACCGCCTGGTATGGCAACTGCTTGGCCTCTGACCGCAAGGCACTACAGAGGGTAGTGCGTACGGCCCAGTACATCACTGGGGCAAAGCTCCCTGCCATCCAGGACCTCTATACCAGGCGGTGTCAGAGGAAGGCCCTCAAAATTGTCAAAGACTCCAGCCACCCTAGTCATAGACTGTTCTCTCTGCTACCGCACGGCAAGCGGTACCGGAGTGCCAAGTCTAGGTCCAAAAGACTTCTCAACAGCTTCTACCCCCAAGCCATAAGACTCCTGAACAGCTAATCATGGCTACCCGGACTATTTGCACTGCCCCCCCACCCCATCCTTTTTACGCTGCTGCTACTCTGTTAAGTATTTATGCATAGTCACTTTAACTCTACCCACATGTACATATTACCTCAACTACCTCAACTAGCCGGTGCCCCCGCACATTGACTATGCAACGGTACCCCCCTGTATATATAGCCTCCCTACTGTCACTTTATTTTACTTCTGCTCTTTTTTTTTCTCAACACTTTTTTGTTGTTGTTTTATTCTTACTTTTTTGTTCTGTAGTTCAATGCCTCCCATGGCACACCCTTCTGGCTATTGGGATAAAATTCATAGTGCGGTTTAAAAATGTACACCAGTATACCAAACATTAGGAACACCTTCTTAATACTGAGTTGCACACCCCCATCTTTTGCCCTCAGAACAGCCTCAATTCGTTGGGGCATTGACTCTACAAGGTGTCGAAAGCGTTCCACAGGGATGCTGACCCATGTTGGCTCCAATGCTTCCTGCAATTGTGTCAAGTTGGCTGGATGTCATTTGGGTGGTGGACCATTCTTGATACACACGGGGAAACTGTAGAGTGTGAAAAACCCAGCAGCGTTGCAGTTCTTGACACACTCAAACTGGTGCGCCTGGAACCATACCCCGTTCAAAGGCACTTAAATATTTTGTCTTGCCCATTCACCCTCTGAATGGCACACATACACAATCCATGTCTCAATTGTCTAAAGGCTTACAAATCCTTCTTTAACTGGTCTCCTCCCCTTCATCTACACTGATTGAAGTGGATTTAACATGTGACATCAATAATGGATCATAGGTCAGTCTATGTAACAGAAAGAGCAGGTGTTCCTAATGTTTTGTACACTCAGGTTATTTCCATATTGAAGCAATGCAATTAAATTCAACAGATTTAGCAAATATGGGATAGGCCTACACTTTGTTATTTTGTTTCTGTCGACTATTTATCAAACCAGGCTATAACGGACTAACATTCAAATTAGAGTTGATGACAATGCAATAGATAAAAGACAGTTAATACACAACTTGAAGAAACCACATATTTAGCCATGGAGCACTTTCTGATAGGCCAGTGAGGGGTCAAGCCTCGACACACCTTCAACTTCTTTGTTCATCTAAACCCAGACCTTTCGCCCCACCGCCAGCTACTGCTCCCACAATTATGGTTATGAAAATAGCACAAATATTTCTGACACAACCCCTGAAGCTATGGCGCTACCACCAGCGCTTAGATTTACCATTGCGTTAGGTTTGTTAAAATAGAGTCCTATATAACACAGCATGAAAATAGGGAATTGATTACATTTTAACTTGTATCTATGAGAGGAAAAATAGGTCACCATGGATACCGTGATGAAAGTTCAAGCCACCCACTTGAGTGCTTGGCCCTGGACTTTTCTACCATTTCACACTTTTAATGTGAATATGATTCTCCCTGTTCTCCTTCAGCAGAAATTGATACTTATTTCTTAGCCAAGCAGTTATCAGCGTATCTTTGGATCTCAGAAAACAGCTGCCGATATTCTACAAGAAATGCCCATTATAATGAGTTTTCCAATTAAAATGAGGCTGTGCTAGTGGAGGTGCATGACCTTCTGTTTTTTCCTCTAATGTCTGTGATAAGGATTGAGGTCGGTGGTATGAAAGTACAGATGATTATACTTATTTGTATTTTTTTCCAGGAATTCATTCTATATCACATAGACAATATATCTATGCCTCTAGGAGGTGGATGGAAGTGTTTTAGGAAGGAGGAGACTGGTCAGGGATTGAGATGTGCTGCAGATGTGAGTTTAGGGTATCTTGAAAGCGACTCCAAGAAATGCTGTCAAAACTGCCAACAGGTAATATCGAGAGATTTGAAATGAAGGTCTCATATTCCTTTATTGTCAGGCCCGGGTTAGAACAGAACACTGTCATTATTGCCTGCTGCATAAACATGATACTGATCAAATTCAGTCATTCGTAGTCAGAGGGCGATATCTTGAATACTGTGCAAAGGTTATTGTGAAATCAATATGCTGACGGCAGAGCATTGTCCACAAATAACAGCCTGCCATTCAGCATGCAAACCATGCTTTATCTAGAGGTAACAGTCAAGGGGACAATGGCAAAGTGCAATGGCAAAAGCCCAAATATCAATAAATGTCTAGCTATTTACTGTCACTCTGACTATGCTACACTACAATTCCTTTCAAATGCAATTCATTTCCCAGTGTTAGAATAATAAAGGAAAAGTGGAAGCACTGTTAACCCCATGAACTGTGTAAGAAATGCTCTAAGAAAGCTAAATTACCTCAGTACCTACTTACATTTACATTTACATTGACATTTTAGTCATTTAGCAGACGCTCTTATCCAGAGCGACTTACAGGAGCAATTAGGGTTAAGTGCCTTGCTCAAGGGCACATCGACAGATTTTTTAACCTAGTCGGCTCGGGGATTAGAACCAGCGACCTTTTGGTAACTGGCACAACGCTCTTAACCACTAAGCCACCCGCCGCCCGGAAGCCGCCCGGAAGCCACCCGCCGCCGCCCGAAATACTACTTCTTGGAAGGCTTCCGGACCACACTCAATGGATGTGTCTGTAATTGCACCCTATACCCTATAGTGTACTACTTATAGCCAGCACCCTATTCACACAGAGCCTATATCTTAACTTACTTATAATCACTGTTAAGTAAGCCCCTACCTTCGGGACCAGCCTCTGGAAGGCTTCGGGACCACACTCGATGGATGTGTCTGTAATGGCACCCTATGTAAGCCCCTACCTTCGGGACTTGATCCCTCTGAAGTTACTCTATTATCACCAGCGGCAATACTAATAATCACTAATAACTAACTGGCTACTGTACCTCTCTGAAGGCCTCCGGGCCACACTCTTTCCCTCTGTAGTTGCACTCCAGCAGCATATCTTCTATACGGTGTCTGGTGCGGTTATGGAACTCATCGAGGCTGAACCGGGATCCTTGGCGGTCGGGCTCGGGGGCCAGGGGGATCCCAGGGGCCATGTTGTCTTCATACCCCAGCAGCTGGCCCATGAACAGCAGGTCACTATAACTGATCTGGGAGCGGCGGAAGTAGTTGTAGTTACAGAAGGTGACGGCCGGGAAGGTCAAGTTGGGGGCATTTCTCTCGTCCAGCATTGTGACGTGATCGTAGGACAGGTAGTAGACGACACGGTCGAACACCTGAAGGAGGAACGCGGAGAGCGCTAGCAGGAAGACGATGGCCCAGAGGCCCTGACGCACACTGAACTTCTTGTCTTCCGCGAAGATGTGGTTGGCGCCGTGGAGCGAGCAGCCATCGAAGAACGCGGCTAGGCTGTCCAACTTGCTGGCGTCGTCTTGATCTTCGTCGTACACGTCCAGTTCTTCACACCCGTCCTCCCGGTACTCCCCATGACCGTCGCCGTCACTGGATTTGATCCCCTTGCGGTAGCGGTCGTCGAATAAGTCATTTCCCGGTCCTCTGGGCTCGTCGTCGGCCGAGAAGGAGATGCTGCACATGATGCGGACGGGCATGTTGGAGGCTTGGCTGGGTGGGTCTGGAAGAAACTGGTCTGTATTCAAAAGGCTTGGCTGGGTGGATCTGGAAGAAACTGGTCTGTAATCAAAAGTTTGGTTGCTCAAAACCTAACAGGCATAGACAAATAGAAGCAGACCAAGTGTGATGATTCAAAATGTCGGGAAAATGTCATCAGAAGAGTGCTGAGCCGTCCTGGAAGTCCAAACAAGAGCCCTGTGATGGGTCTGACTGATGATGACGCATAGTCAGAAAAAGACAGGAACACTGAATCACGACAGGCTCAATCAACAACTCAATGAACTCGCTGTCCCCAAACAAGATTACGTTTGTTTTCTTGAAGGAAAGAAGACAACGATGGGTAACGATCAGATCAACTGGAGGCAGAACTACTGAGGTCTTCTCTTCTCTCATTCTCTCTCATCATTTCATCCCACATCTGTGGTCAGTGATCAAGGAGTGTCAGGGATGTTGAGATGCCCTGCCCAGGGTTAGTCCTTCCCTTTATGGTGCAGAGAGGAAGTGAGGCAGGATATCAGTTAGCCCATACAGAGGAAGTTCAGAGAGGAGGAGATCAGTGATGGTTCTATGAGGGGAACGACACAGAATACTCCCTGGGAGCCCAGCCACAGGTCACTGTGTCAAGGCAGAGTTACACCATGCACTTACAGGAAGCACTGCTGCTTGACGCATAACAGAGAGAGAGAGACAGAGAGAGAGAGAGAGAGGGATCAGAATCCTAGTACTATTGGATTGGAATAGAATTCCCAATAAAGTTCCAACAATTCCAAAATGATTCCAACAAGAACTCCAAAAGAAATGTTGCTAAATGACTTTTCATTCTTTTTTGTTGCTGTCTCTCAAAACCCTGCCTGGTATTTTCTATACTACCCAGCTGATCAAACACAGTTAACAGAGGTGTTTGCAGTAAACCTGTATTGATTGACAATTGTAGAAATTGTGGCATTTGACTGGATTATGCTTTCAGAACATTCTACGCGAGCCAAAATGTTCAAGTTACAATATATACAAAAGTATGTGGACACCCTTCAAACTAGTGGATTCAGCGATTTCAGCCACACCCGTTGCTGACAGGTGCATAACATTGAGCACACAGCCGTGCAATCTCCATAGACAAACATTGGCAGTAGAATGGCCTTACTGAAGAGCTCAGTGACTTTCAACGTGGCACCCTATCACCTTTCCAACAAGTCAGTTTGTCAAATTTCTGCCCTGCTAGAGCTGCCCCGGTCAACTGTAAGTGCTGTTATTGTGAAGTGGAAATGTCTATGAGCAACAACGGCTCAGCCACGAAGTGGTAGGCCACACAAGCTCACAGAACAGGACCGGCGAGTGCTGAAACGCGTAGCGTGTAAAAATGGTCTATCCTCGGTTGCAACACTCACTACAGAGATCCAAACTGCCTCTAGAAGCAATGTCAGCACAATAACTGTTCGTCAGGAGCTTCATGAAATGGGTTTCCATGGCCTAGCAGCCGCACACAAGCCTAAGATCACCATGCGCAATGCCAAGCATCGGCTGGAGTGGTGTAAAGCTCGCCGCCATTGGACTCTGGAGCAATGGAAACTTGTTCTCTGGAGTGATGAATCACCCTTCACTGTCTGGCAGTCCAACGGACTAATCTGGGTTTGGCGGATGCCAGGAGAACGCTACATGCCCCAAAGCATAGTGCCAACTGTAAAGTTTGGTGGTGGAGGAGGAATAATGGTCTGGGGCTGTTTTTCATGGTTCGGGCTAGGCCCCTTAGTTCCAGTGAAGGGAAATCTTAACGCTACAGCATACAATTATATTCTAGACGATTCTGTGCTTCCAACTTTGTGGCAACAGTTTGGGGAAAGCCCTTTCCTGTTTCAGCATGAAAATGCCCCCACGCACAAAGCGAGGTCCATACAGAAATGGTTTGTCGAGATCGTGTGGAAGAACTTGACTGGCTTGCACAGAGCCCTGACCTCTACCCCATCGAACACCTTTGGAATGAATTGGAACACCGACTGCAAGCCAGGCCTAATCGCCCAACATCAGTGCCCGACCTCACTAATGCTCTTGTGGCTGAATGGAAGCAAATCCACACAGTGGAAAGCCACAACATCTAGTGGAAAGCCTTCCCAGAAGAGTGGAGGCTGTTATAGCAGCAAAGGGGGGACCAACTCCATATTAATGCCAATGATTTTGGAATGAGATGTTCAATGAGCAGTTGTCCACATACATTTGGTAATGTAGTGTATGTACTCTGCAGTCATATTGTCAGATTTCAGATAAGCAGCAATCATGTAAGTCCATTAAGGGTGAAATTCAACTCAAATCAATTCAATCCAACCTTCAGTAAATTGAATAATGCTTTAACCGTCAGAATATCTATTGTCAAAATGAATATATTGCCATGGCTGAATTTCTGTAGTTCAATGCCTCCCATGGCACACCCTTCTGGCTATTGGGATAAAATTCATAGTGCGGTTTAAAAATGTACACTGAGTATACCAAACATTAGGAACACATTCTTAATACTGAGTTGCACACCCCCATCTTTTGCCCCCAGAACAGCCTCAATTTGTCGGGGAAAGGACTCTACAAGGTGTCGAAAGCATTCCACAGGGATGCTGGCCCATGTTGACTCCAATGCTTCACACAGTTGTGCGTCAAGTTGGCTGGATGATTTTTGGTTCCAACCACTGTGTCTTCAATATGGGGAAACACTGAAGCAATACAAACACACGCTAAGAACAAAAAAAGAACAGCACATTAGAAATCAGCTGGATGTGATTGAGGAATCCATAGAATCAAACCACTTCTGGGATAATTGGAATAAATTAAACAAACCTCATAATGAGGAATTGGCTATCCAAAATGGGGATATGTGGAGAAATCACTTTGCAAACCTCTACAGCAATATAACAAAGAGCCCAGAACAACAAGATATACAAGAAAAATTACAAATCCTTGAATCAGCAGTCAAAGACTATCAGAATCCTGTGGATACCCCAATTACAGAACAAGAATTATTGGAAAAACTTTGCACTCTCCAACCCAAAAAAGCCTGTGGTGCTGATGGTATTTTAAATGAAATGATCAAATATACAGACCACAAATTAAAATTGGCTATACTCAAACTCTTCAACATTATCCTAACTGCAGGTATTTTCCCCGATATTTGGAACCAAGGATTGATCACACAAATTTATCAAAATGGAGACAAATTTGACCCAAATAATTATAGAGGAATTTGCGTTGACAGTAACTTGGGGAAAATTCTCTGCAGTATCATAAACAGCAGACTACATCATTTCCTTGATGAACACAACGTCCTAAGCAGAAACCAGATTGGATTTGTAAAAAATTATCGTACAACAGACCACATTTACACCCTCCAGACTCTAATTGACAAACAAGTAAATCAAAACAAAGGCAAAATCTACTCGTGTTTTGTAGACTTCAAGAAAGCATTTGATTCAATTTGGCACGAAGGTCTTTTTTACAAACTAATAGAAAGTGGTATTGGAGGGAAAACATATGAGCGATTAAAATCGGCAACAAGCAAACAGGACTTATTGGGCTGCCCAATAAGTCCAACACTATTTAACATCTACATTAATGAATTGGCAAAAACATTTGAAGAACCGGCAGCACCTGGTTTCACCCTACACAACACTGAAATCAAGTGTCTGCTGTACGCAGATGACCTGGTGCTACTGTCTCCCACTAAGGAGGGGTTACAGCAGCATCTAGATCATCTGCACAGATTCTGTCAGACCTGGGCCCTGACCGTTAATCTAAAATGGGACAAACATCCAATCGAAATACTGCATGCAGAGTTTTGCAAGACTATATTGCAAGTGCAAAGAAAAACTCAAAATAACGCATGTAGAGCAGAATTGGGCCAATACCCCCTCCTTATTCAAATAGAAAAAAGAGCCATCAAATTTTACAACCATCTAAAAACAAGTGACCCCAAAACATTCCATCACACAGCTCTACTATGTCAAGAGATGAAACAAGAGAAGAGTCCCCTCAGCCAGCTGGTTCTGAGGCTCAGTTCTCTAACCAAAACCAACCAGAGAGGACAGGCTGTGCTCACTCTGCCTCCGGGGAGAGGTAGAGACAGAGCTGCATTTCCTACTACACTGTGAAAAATACTCAGACCTAAGAGAATCTTTCTTTCCCAGAATTTGAAACTATAAAAGATGAAGAAAAAATCCAATATTTATTGGGTGAAAAGCCAAAATGTGCAATTTTGGCAGCCAAATATGTGTCCTCCTGCCACAACCTGAGGGACAGCCAGTGAAAAGTGTAATGTAATGTCAATAATATTTCCTGTTTTGTTTTGGCTTTCATAGCATGTAATGTGTCTTCTCAGTCACGTTGAGATTGGTCGACTACTATTGCTTTAATGTATTGTTGGTCCCACCATTTTTGTTATATCTATACTTTGACAATGTAAGTAATTTTCCTTGCCATGTCAATAAAGTCTATTGAAGAGAGAGACAGAGAGAGAGCGAGAGAGAGAGAGAGAGAGAGAGAGAGAGAGAGAGAGAGAGAGAGAGAGAGACAGACAGACAGATAGAGGGAGACAGAGAGAGAGAGAGAGAGAGAGAGAGAGAGAGAGAGAGAGCGAGAGAGAGAGAGAGAGAGAGCCGACAGGATTGACAAGAAGAATAAAAAAGAAAATAAGGCTCTTTTTCAAGTCTAATCCTTTTCATCAGAATTGTTGTAACTAAAACAATCAAGCTGCATAATACCATATTTTTTCTTCTAGAACAAGTCTTTACATCTTTTAGGTCTAGCTAAGGAGTTTTGTGCTTGAAGAAGTTTAGGTTTGGTAATGTGCACTAGCTTATTAGTTAGTTGGCTAGCTAACGTTAGCTTGCTAACTGAGCCAAGCAGTCACACACTTTATATGAAACGAATAGGGTGGTAATAAGTGCAACACTAAATGCTTTAGCAAGCTAGCTATCTGGCCACTGTAGCTAGTAACGTTATCATT